GAGCACGTCTACCACACCCCTAGCAAGACTGGAGGCATTACAATCTCCGCGTGCGGCATGGAGAGCCTGGTTCAGCTAACCAGAACACTGACACTCGGGGAGGCATCCCCTGGGCGTACCTACCGATGCCGGGCGCCTACTCGCCGGCCTCTTCCTCCTTTGCCATTGACAGTAGCCCTGCCAGAAGTTTGTCCACAGCTTGCAGCACTAGGCAGCAACGAGATCTACACTTGACGCCGAGTGTATGCTCGCCGCAACAGCTTTCATTGCGACGAGCGTACTGGGGTCCGTGACCCTTCCTGGTGAGGGCGCAGGCAGCGCGTGCCCAAAAAGGATCATCAGGTCATCCAACCAGTCCGAGCAGCGTTGGAGGGGACCGTGGGACAGAGTCCAAGGGTTCGTTGAGCCCACCTCTAAAAAACAGCGGAGGGGATGCAGGCAGTGGAGCCTGCTCGGGCCACGGGGGGGCAGCCTGAGGGAGAGGGGGCGGCTGCCATGATGGCAACGTCAGCTGGGACGGCGGAGTGACGCGATCGCGCAGGAGTATCCGCGGTGGCTGCTGCTGGGGGAAGGGAGGCGGGGGCGGCTGCTGCGGAGGGATCTGGGGCTGCGCCGGTAGCGGGTACAACTGCGGAGGTGGCGCCTGAGCCGGAGGCACAACAGCCAACCCGGGGCCCTACACCAGAGTGGGCGGAGGGTGTGCCTGTGAGCTCGCTTGGACCTACGCCCAAATACCCTCCAGCACGGCGGTATTCCTTGCGAAAGTCCACACGAGCTCCCGTTCGCGACCGTTCGGAGCACGGCCAGAGTTCCCGCCGCGCTAGCCCCGCCGCTGCTGCACGCCGCGATCGCGGCCACTCTGCTGACACAGAGGCGGCTGCTGCGCTCCGGCCGCTGGATGCGGGCGGTGTCCCTAGGTGCGCTGGCTGCTGGCGCGGAGGCTGCGGACGGTGCATCGGAGGGACGGAGACTGAGGGCGGTACTGCGCGCGGGTTGTTGGAGTTTTCGGGCGAGACGGGGTGGGATGCGGCAATGACTGACGGGGCGATGATGCGTGTGGCGGCGGTGACGGCAGACGAGACGGTGCATGCTGGCACTGACTCTACGCAGGGGGTGACTGTAGCAAGGGGAATCCCTCCGGCCATTCTCGGAGCGCAGGCATTGTAGGCGGGCTCCGTGGGTGCAGCGGAGCTTGATCAGGCGACCGGGGAGAGTTCCTGTCAGACCCAGCGACAGGGAAACCACGAGCCCAGCGCAGGTCCGTCTGCTCCGAGACGGTCGCCCGATCTCGGCGGTGGGGTGGAGCACTCTCGGCGGAGCTCTCCAAACCGGTCGATTGCTCGCGATGCCCGCGGCGAGTCCGCTTGACGGAACGCGGGTGCACCATCCCCGAGCAACGGTGCGCGGGGCGGCTCGCCGGCTAGAGGACGCAGCACTCGTACTGCGACCCCAAACAACGGGGCACATGGACGAGGACGCGGACGAGGATGCGGACGGGGCCGGGTTGGGTGCACGGTTAGCGATGGAGGCCCTAGGAATGGGTTCCAACAAGCAGCAGCAAGGGCTTTAAGAAGGGAAGAAGACGCAACCGATGTGGAGGAAGCGATGGACAGGACTTACATACCTGACCGGCAAGCAGAATCCAGCACGGAGGAGGGCAGCGCTGAGGCAGACGCGCAGCAACCAGCCCGTCGATGCTCTCCAGTCGCATATGCAGCACCAGTTCCCCAAGGAGGGCTTTTGCCGCGAGGACGTAATTCCTGGGCACCGCTGGCAAGTGTGGGAGGGGCTGAGCGTGAGCTGTCCCCGAACAGCTCGCAGCTGACGAATCCCGCTTCGCCAGCATCGCCAGCTGGGACTTGCTACCCCTGTATAACAGCCGACAGCCCCCCATTTGCCGCCGAGTCCCGCCAAACCTTTGCCCACTCTTTGCGATCACCCTGCTCATCCCGCTTCTACACCTGGCAAAAAATCCCAAATCAGCGCTAGGGTGGCGCTTGCTACTTTTCGCCCCACGATTGACACTTCGTTTGGGTTCGCCGAGGAGACCAGACTAGAAGCCAATCGAGAAGCGTTTACAGCAGTTCCTCAAAGGCGATTGGGAACAGCTGTTCCAGTCTGCTATTGAATTGGTCATCCTAACCCCCCCCCTCCACTCCACGTCGCCGACGACCTCGGAAAATCGCTCGCACCGAAGGACTCGCAAAACGAGGCAGCCTCAGGAGGGCTGTCCTAGCACTAGAGACAACATTAGTCAGTGCCCCGTCAACAGCCGTGCTCGAGGCGCTTAAATTGAAACACCCCCCCTCGCTCGTGAACGAGGTTACCTGGCCAGCGCTGGCCCAATCCGAGTCTCCGATATCCCTCGCCAAACCAACCTTCGCCAAGCTGCTGTCTCAGTGCGAAAACAGGGTGGGAGTGGGCCCATCTGGAATGACTTTCGAACACTTACAAGACGCTGCTTTCGCAGACGCGTCGGTAGCTGCTTACAACTCTCCTATGGCCGACCGTCCGCGCTTTATCTGGACGCCGCGTTCCACAGCCCGCCACTACTGAGTGAGTGGGGCGTTTGTCAAGGAGACCCGCTCGGTCCCCTGCTCTTCGCCGCAAGAATGCACCATGCCCTCCAAGCGACAGCCACTGCCTTCCCACACGTCCTATGCCTAGCATATGCGGACGATGTTACCCTCGCGGGTGAACCAGCAGCATGCGCATCAGCCTTCCTACACTTCACCGAGGGGCTACGCGCGCTGGGCCTGACTCACAAACCGCAAAAGTGCGCCGTATGGGCCCGCACCCGCCCCCCAGCCCAGGAGCTCCCACCAGGAATCCCCTTCAGCACTGATGGACTGGGGGTTCTTGTTAGTCACGTCGGACCAGCGAGCGGTTCCGCGGAGTTCCTCCGGTCCCACATCACCACCCTCAAATCCCCGCTGGCGCTGCTGTATGCGATGGACCCCCAGATCAGCACCCTCTTGCTCTTTAGCTGTATCAGCAGGTGGGTGTCGTACCTCCTCCACACGACCGCTTTGGAGCTACTCCCGGCAGAAGAGTGGTCAGCGTGGGGGCAGGGCATGTTCCACGCCCTCCTCAAATCCTGCGGATTACGCTTGCCACGCGAGGAGAGGGAACAGGCACGCACCTGTGCGCAGGCTTCCCTGCCCCCCTCCTTAGGAGGGCTTGGCATCACAGACCCGCTGGTGGAAGGGGGTTACTCCTTCCTGACCAGCGCCCATCACACCCATACCTTACTGACTGCCCTCCAGCCCGCGCTTGACACCCATCTTGCGCTGGCTGCCGCCCAACTCGCTCCACCATTCACATGCCCCGCACCCTACCATGCATGACTAGTCGAGGCGGAAGCTGCCCTCCCACCTCCTGCGCGCCTGCTGCTCCAGAACGAGCGACTTGAACCAACCGCCAAGCCACTACAGCATAGACTGGCGCTGGAAGCGCAAGGCCAGCGGTACGCCGACCAGGTGGCGGCAACCCGGGAACCCCAACCCCTACATGGGCCATACCCAGCGCATGCTGTCCCTCTCGGGCTATGGCGCTGGGGATTGGCTACAGGCCATCCTCCTCTTCCCGTCATTGCGCCTCGCCCCCGCGCACTTCTCCATAGCCCTGGCATTCCGCCTAGGCCTTCCCTTCTCCACACCTCGGCACTGTAACTGCGTGGACCGCACCAAGATCGACGACCCGCGGCTCCCAAACCATTTTTCGCTGCGGTACCGGTCACGGGCGAACCGACACTCACAATGCGCCGCGACGAGTGCATTCATATGGGACAAGACGCGGGGTTCATCGCCTATCGGGAGACTACTATTTTCTGCCCCGTGGATGGCCACAAGGCGGACCTCGCCATCCGGGACCGGGGAACAGCGGCAGTCTGGATCTTTGACGTCACTGTTATGGACCCAATCGGCAACCGGGACCCCACAGCCCGCAAGGGGCGTGGATTCGCGGCGAGAGAACAAGTGGATAAAAGATCGATCACTACAAAAACTGGGCGGCCTACGTCGGCTTCTTCCCCTTAGCCGTGGAAACGTACGGTTGCCCGTGCTGGGAGGTGCCGGCCTTCCTCAAGCTCCTAGCCGAGGCGGCCGCCAAGAGGCTCTTCAATGCGGAGTCAGCCACCTACCAGGCGGCTAAGCTCCTACACCAGTTCCGCCAGCGCTGGTCCTGCACCCTCCAGCGAGGTCAGGCCGCGTTCTACCTCAAGAAGGTGAATGAGGCGGCCCAGGCGGAGCACCCGCCCATCGGCTCACCCGATGAGTCGCTATCCCCGGCTGACTGCTTCGCGGTCCTGGAACCGGGGGTGGAGTGGTCATAGACATAGGATGTGTGTAGGCGTCTGTACTCACCTTGCTTGCCTAGTTGTACCCAGGTTCCCAAAATACACGGACCGCTTGAGAGAGAGAGAGAGAGAGAGAGAGAGAGAGAGAGAGAGAGAGAGAGAGAGAGAGAGAGAGAGAGAGAGAGAGAGAGAGAGAGAGAGCAGGCGGAGGTGGTGGTTGCAGGAGAGTGAGATGGGAGGGGAGTCAGTACGGCCCAAGAGGATGTGTGGTGGTGGAGCATGGGTCGAGGCATCAGCAGGGCAGGGTATGTAGTGGCCAATGTAGAAGCACTGAGTAGCACCTTATATCTGCGTTCTTTCCCGTCTGTGATCGCCCGCATCGCTCTGCCTTCACCAGCCAGACGCGGTGCCCCGTTTGAGCAGTTCGCACAGACCTCCTGCGTTGATATGTTAGGGGGGGATGAAGTGTCAACCTTGCTCTGCAGAGAGCTCGTGGCTGACTGACAGGAGTGCTTTGATTGCCCCGCTCAGGACGTCAGAGAAGGCGCCCAAGTTCATAGCATGCCCTGATGTAGCTCAGAGCTCAACAGGTTGTACAGCACGTCAAATCCGTGAAACTGTACAACATATAAGAAAGAGCATCTACGGTATCACGAAGCTGTGAGAGTGATGCCACAGGGTGACCGCCGACCGGGTTTGAATTTGGATCGACTAGAAAGATGGCGCAATACAATAAACCTAGGTGTTTTTGGGCACTGCAACATGTACCAGTGAAATTGGCGCCCCGTATTCTTTTTTTCCATCGCATCGCTCTAGGGCATGAAAATCTCATCGCTCTAGGGATGCTGGGATTCACTGCAGCGTGTACTACGGTATCCATTCTCTGTTTTGAAGGGATGATCAGCTAGTTAAGCCACTCCCTAATTATATGTTAACGGATCTATGAGCTAGCCTTTTCTGTTTCTTCTCAAACATGTCGACTAGCACCACTGGAGCTGCTTGCGTGATGTTGTTAAGGGGGATGTGTAGATCCCGTGCGAAGATCTTCTTCACCAGCTCATACGTCTCCTGAGAATGTACGGGACGAGTGCGGGGGATCAGAATGAGTGGGCAAGGCATTCCAACATGCTTCTGTAGCAGGCAATACATGATAAAAGCATGAATTGCATTGCCTGTCCCAGAAACATGCATGAGCTGCCCACCTCAGTCACCATAGACATCATACTCTAAGTAGAACATTTGTTGCCAAAGGCTCACCTTGTCGTATTTCTTGGCGAGCTTGCTGTCCGCGTTTGTGAAGTGCGCATTGACCCCGAAGTTGAAGATGTCGAGATGGTCGCCTCCAAATCGGTTCACCACATACTTAGCATCCTCCTCCAGATTCTCAAACCGCCCCACAAAGTCGTACTTGATCTTGTCCATAAAGCAGATGTCCGACTGCCAAGGTTGAAGAGAAGGAAAGAGAGAATAGGAAAGATGTTGAAGAGGAAGAGTAGAAAGCACTTTCGAGTGGACACGAAAGCGTACTCGATCTTGTCCTTAAGCAAATGCCCGACCGCAGATATCAACGAGGAAATATACCAGTAAGAGAACAAGCACTAAGACAGCGTTACCTCACTGCTGTGCATGTCTGTGACATGAGAACTTAGCATCGCATCAGTGTCACCTCACCTGCGAGGCAATGTGCCAGTCCATGCGCCACCTATGCCTCTTCGTGAGCTCGCCCACCAGGTGCAATGCAAGATGCGTTTGCCTCGTCAATATCACATGATATGCTTGCATCTTTGTCAGCCCACCTGCGGCGCTATGTGCCTGTCCATTCTCCAGCGGTGCCTCTTCATGAGCTCGCCCACCAGCTTCACGAAGTTAGGGAAGGTCACCAGCCCTTTCGTGTCCTTCACCTTCTCCCACTGCGGCCGAATGTACTTGAAAAACGCCTGTGGAGGGACGAAGGGCAAGGGAACGGGAGAAGGAAAGGCGCTTGGTAGGAAGAACAAGAACGGGCACACCTGACTGCCAAAAGATAAAAGACGTGCTGAGCTAAGCACAAGCAGAGTGTGAGGGCAACGGGGAGGCAGGAGGACCATGGCTGCAGCAAGCAGAGAAAACCCAACCCAACCCCGGCCAACCCACCTCGTTCCAGTATTCTCTCGACCCTGGCCCAGTCTTTTAGACGTCTCACAAGACAGCCCAACCCAACCCAACCCAACCCAACCCAATCCGACCCAATCTCATCCCTGCTCACCTCGTTCCAGTATTCTCTTGACCCTGGCCCGGTCTTGTTATTCGGCGTATCCGTAATGACCAGCTTGTTTGAATACGCGGAGAGCACCCGTGAGAAGGGGTTCCGCACGAAGGTGAACTTGAAGTAGTCGGGGCGGGTGACCTGCTGCACAGCCTGCTGCTCCGTGAAGTGCAGCGTGAGCATGTGCCACCCTGCCCGGTGGGGGTCCAGCGCCAGGATGGGGTCCTCGGGGTGCGGCTGCCCCAGCTTGGCGCGCAGCCACATGAGCCACGAGTTGCAGGCGACCTTCGGCATGGTGCACACCATCAGCTTGAGCTTCTCTGCGTTGGTTGATAGAGGGCGGGATTGAGGGAAGGGAAGGATGAAGGGTGAGAGGGAATTGAGTGTGACTCACTCCATAAGACACAAATTGCAGGCCACCTGAGGCATCATGACACCATAAGAAAAAAAATGAAGATGGAAGGAAGAGCGGGAGGGAGGGAGGTACTTGCACATGCTGCAGAGCGTGTTGTCACTGCTTGGCACTGCAGCTACTGGGTTGCTCAAAAGCCAACAGCTACTCTGTAATGTCCCCCCCCTCACCTTCCACTTGAGTGAACATGGCCCACTTCTGCTTCGTGATTGGCCGCAGCTCTGTTGAGTCACACACAGACCGGTACACCCCAAACGATGGCGAGCGTGACGTGCCTTGCGCGGTAACGAACCGGGCTTCTATGGAGGATCGGTTCACGGCCAGCAGGCCGCGGGCGAAGCTGAGTGCGAAGAGCTCCGCTACCTGTAGGGGTGGGGTTAGGGGGACATGAGGATGGAGGGAGGGGGAATTTAGAGGCGCATGAGTTGCAACATGAGGGGGCACGTGAGTCGCAATAGACGAGGGCATTTTATGAGGCGCGTCAGGAATTCAGGATCGGTTGACTGCCAACAGGTTGATGCATGGAGGGGGGGGGGGCGTCGGGGCCACGTGAGGAAGGGAGAGGGAGCTGGGGCCACAAACGCATAGCGCCGTTGAGAGTGCGAGTCCACAGGTCCAGGTCTGTGCAACAGCTGCTCGAATCTACTCTGGTCTGTCCGCTTTCACCCCTGCTCTGCTCTCAGCTCGTGTCATCTGCTGCTCGTGTCCACCACTACTGTTGCCACCTCTTCTCTTTCGACGCCCCCTTCCCGCGTGAACCCACTCCCTCTTCTCTATGCCTCCTCTTCTTGACTAGTACCGCTCCAGCTCTCTCCGCCCTGGTTTCCCATGGCAGCTGAGGCACTCAATTCAAGCACCTGAGCTCCCTGGTTCACATCGGCGAATACCGCTCGTGTCTTTCGATTTACTCCAAATGGGGCGAGTGAGTAGCCGCATTTACCTGCAGTTGGGTGCACTCCGTCACATGCACCCCACGCACCTTGTGCTATTATAGAGTCAGCTTGTAACGCGGCTACTTAAATTTACCTGCAGCTGCGTGCACTGTGTCACGTGCGCCCCAAGTGCTCTATCCGTCGCTGGCTGCAGCACCAGCCCTTCCGCGCCTTCCCCTCCTGCTTCATTTCCTACCCCCAAGCTCACATTCACTCTCCCCTTCACCTGCCCCTCCTCCCCACCCTCCAACAGCTGTCTCCTCTCCTCCCCACCCTTCGCCTCCTCTCCCCTCCCCCCCACCCGACACGTGGCGTTCCGCAATTTGGTGACCTTGAGCACGTGCGGGAACCGGAGTGCGCTGAAGTAGCTATTGTGGACGGTGATGTCTGAGGTGTTGATGGCGCCGGCAGTGAAGCTGACGGCCGGGTCGTACAGATACTCCATGGTCACTCGCCGCATGGCGCAGTGCGGTGCAGAGCGGTTCGACTTGTCGCTGCACCCCTCGCACCCTTCCTCTCCCAGTTGCTGCGGTGGGGGGAAGGAGGGAAGGAGGGGGGGGAAATGGGGAGGAGGGGGAGGGGGGTGGAGGTTGGCGGGTGGGGGAGGGGGATGTGAGAGGAGGCCCACGGGAGGGTTGAGGGGAAGAAGGAGAAGGTTGGGAGATAGAGAGAGTTCAGAGAAGAGTGTGACAGGGGGACGGGGCTAGAGGGGGGGGAGAGAAGAGCCCGGTCCTCCTCCACCACCGTCGCCGCCACGGCCTCCCATGCTAGTCCCAGCAGATCAGCCACACTACGATCAGATCAACCCCGCCACTCACGTCGATCAGCACGGCGCTCGACGCGGCGACGCGCGCCAGATCCTCCTCCACCACCATCGCCGCCACGGCGGGCGACGGGCGAATCAGGCCCAGACACGTGTCCACCTCGCGCTCGAACGCGCACACGTCCACGCGCACGGGGCCGTCCGTCTTGCCGCGCACTGCCGGCGACAGGAAGATCTTAAACGGCAGGCCGTCAGCGGCCGGCGCCTGCTTGCCGTCCGCGCTCTTGCATGGCTTGAACGCCACCCGTCGACGGCCTTTAAGGGCGCGTTTCAGATGCCGCGCCATCACGGGCGTGTCCTGCACCCACACCGTCCCCTCGCGCCCGCTCTCGTCCCGCGCGCGGGAGGATGATCCGGAAGGCGCGGGGTCTTGCGCGAGGCGGAAGAGGTGGCGGAAGGTCGTGGCAGGCATTTGGAGATCGGCGGGCCAGAGGGAGAGCGTGGGCATGTTGGTGAGGGCCGTCACTGCGTACGCCGCACACACCGCGTGCACGCGGGTGGACAGGGAGCCCTGAGGGGTGGGGGAGGGGGGTTGGGGTTGGGAGGGGAAACAAGGAAAGAATGACGCAGAGTTTTGTAGGTAGACAGGACGAGAGAAACTGAGCGCGCAACATGCACGCGAGAGAGTAGTGAGCCGTGAGGGGGAAACGAATTCATGAGGGGACGGGAGGGGCGGAGGGGACGCGAATGAGTTAAACCACAGTCGTCGGTTGACAAACGGAACTGAGGAAATGCCAAGGCAAAGCATGTAATCCCGAGAAAGACCGGGGAGATACGAGTTTCAAAGGGAGCCATTCAGGATGCCAAGAGGATAGCGAGCCATAGGAGGGAAAAGGCAAGGGGAATAGTCAATACAGACCCGTGGTTCGACAAACGGAGAAATGCATTTGCCAAAACTGTCATTCCGAGTAAGGCACGAGATCCAACGCAGGAGCCTTTCAGGACGCCAAGACGCCGGCGGTTTGTCACTGACTACCAAACCAATGTTGGCAACCCGACCAGTAAGCCGCCTTTCCACGCACCTCAGCCACGAAGACCGCATCCGCTCGTCGCAGAGGACAGTCGCTGGGCGCGTCGTTCCCGTCGCACGTCCACGGGTCCGGCGAGCCCAGAAACAGCTTCGATCGCTCGTCGCCGTTCGCCGGATCCGAGCCGTCCGTGGTCTTCCAGAAGCCCGCGAGCTTCTTGGCGCCAAGCGAGAGCGAGCGGCCCTCGAGCGCGACGGCGAGGTTGGGGTTGCAGGCGGGGCCCATCCAGTGGCCCACGGTGTAGAGCACCATCAGCGGCAGCAGCACCATCACGATGCAGCGGTCCCACGACGCGACGCGCTGCCGGTCGTGAGGTTGGGACGCTTTACGCTTATCGAAGAACACCATGGTGAAAAAACTCGTCTGTGACCCGCGTCACTGGCAGAATCTTGTTTCTTGTAAGGAGCCTATTCGGGTGTCAACAAAAAGGGTATATTTTAGAATTGTCAGAAGTTCTGCCTGCGTCGAGGTGGCGGTATGAGTTGGGGTTGACACCTGACACCGTTTATTTGGAGGAATGGCTATCTCATATTCTAAGGGTCAGCTTTTTAGGGCCGTGACGAGCACGCGCATGGGTCATCGCAATACCAGCACTGAGTGTTATGCACTCCTCACAGCGACGACCGACTTGCCACCGTCCGACAATGAGAGAAGAGAGAAAACTAATGACGTGCTCCACTACGGAAATTGATCAGCAAGGGGAGTGGAAAATGCTCCGACTGCGAGGGAGCCCGATGGAGACCAAGGAACGCGCAGGTTTAAGGGCGTGTGGCAAGTAGATGCAAAACGAAGGGAACGACAGGAGCGGAGCGGAGGAGGTGGAAACCCGTCGCAATTGCGGTTTCACCATGTGTTCGAAGAAAAAGTTCGTGTGGCAAGTACTGTAGAGAAGTCCAAACACCATGATGGGAGCGGAGCGGAGTTTCGGGGCAGGTGGCAAACACAACGGGCATAAAATAAATGACAAAATTGGCTGCCCCTAACCCACTGGCGAATCACAACCACAATCCAGCAACGTCGCCACCTGACAGGGAAACACCAAATCCAGCCAATCAGAGAGCTTCTGGAAAAAGGAATCCCGAGCACGCCAAAACTCACGAGCCAAAGGACTGGGTGTGTGGGCAGCTCTGGCGAAAGTGGTTTGGTTGGCGAGCATCGCAAAAAGTGGAAAACCCAGGTCTGCAAAATTTACAACTTTGAGGGACAGACTCGGTTGGGCTGAAATTTCAGTTTGGGCAGCCAGTACACTAGTGTCCGAGTGGCAAGTGTGCAAAACGACGGGGGCTGCTCCCTTACCAAAGTTAGGAGCCAACGACGGGACGACGGGAACGGAGCGGAACGGAACGGAGCGGAATTCTACTTGCCACACGCCCTAGTTGCACAAAGCTGTCCACGCCCCAGCAGTTTCATGGCCGGGTCTGCCTGGTCTGGTGGTCTGGTCGGACCAGTAGGGCTCGGAGCCCTTGGGATTCCGTACGCGACACGACGAGACTGGGAGGGGATGCAGCAGAGCAGAGCGCTGCTGACCACCACTCGCACCGCGTGCGCGCGAATTTCGTTGACGAAGCTCCCTCCCTCCGTTTCCTGCGCCTTGAGATTATCGCGGCTGGCCCGCTCTCGAACCTAATTTCGCACATCTAGATCGAAGGTTTGGGGAACGCTAAACCGTCATGGCGAGGTTTCCGAGCTGCATGTACCAGGTAGCGAGGCAGGTCGCGTCCTTGGTACACCTAACGAACCAGACGTATTTGGTTCGGGCTCGAGCTGACTGGCAGGTGCTGGTTGGCTTTTGGCGGAAAATGCTCCCCCCTGCTTTGTGAGTGTCAGCGAACGAGATAGCCTACACTTCGTATCTAGTGTTCATTACGTGTTAGAAAACATTGCTGATTAACTGCATCAATTCAACTCAACCAACACGTGTGATATACCAGGGACTTATTGATCCCTTAGTTGCTCTTAAAGTGCATGGCCCAAGAACGACCAAGACTCAATGTATTTGAAAGTGGTTCTTCATCAATCCAACCGAAACACACTGGGTTACCCCAAAACTAGGCGAAGGTAGGGAAACCTGAAACGGTGTGGAGGGATTGGCTAAGCTCATGCCCACCACCAGCGTGCGACAACGAGCAACTCCCCTTGACAGACGACAAACCAAGATACAGAGTGTTTGGTTTCTTGTGACTACCATCCATGGCGCCAGCAGGCAGGGCCGGCGATTCAAGGGTGTTTCACCATGATTACCCTTGCCATCGACCACTTTTCGGAGTATCCTTGTTTTTGTAAGGGTGTTTTGAGGCCGAATTTGCCCCTGGCACCCTTATAAATCAGGGTGAAATAATTATGATACCCTGATTCCTAAGGGTGCCCCATGGCCAATCTCTAACCCAGCCAGTAGGGCGTTACTAGGAAGCGTTTTTTACTTGGCGTCGCCAAGTATGACTAGTTTCACCAACAGAGCACCAACAGCAATAGCGGCCACCAACAGCGGCCTGAGCAACAGAGCAAGCAGAGTCCACGGGGAGAGCTCCAGCTCCTCCAACTCCCTCACATCCCCATTGCTGCGCACGACACCACCACCCTGTCAGAAACCCAGTCACTAACCACTGGGTTAAAAGGGCTTGTTGAATAGCGGATAAGTGCGCCCATAGCCCCCCAGGCTCTGCACCTGTGGCCCTTCCCCGAGGATCTCAAGGGCAACCCCAGCGGGTCACTCGACACACCCTTCCCTCCCCTAACACTTGACCACCTAGCCCTAGGGATGTGGTTTGGGGAGAAACATGTGAGTCTTTATCCACCTGCCCATGCAACTCAACCCAATCGGTTGCCACAGTCTCTCTATGTTGCCTCACCACATTGCTGGGGTTAGTACTCACATTACCTCCGCCCTGCTTCTTCATTTCTTCCTTACTTCCACTTGATCCTCTTGAACCTCGACCTTCTCGCAGTATCCATCGGGCCAGGATCGTCAATCTCTTCATCGGCCAGAATAGATGACATCACATCTTCAGTCTCTACCTCTTATGCCTCCAAATCCCACTCCTCTATCTCCTCAGCAACTCGCCCCATGCCTCTTCCTCCCCCATTTCCACCCATTAATCTACCTGTCGGCGGCAGCTTCCCAGCAGATTCCACCCACCAGCGTGTTTCAAACACCTCCTCCTCCTCACTCCACTCCTCCACCTCCACTTCCTCTTCCACTCCCCTGTACACCAGCCCCCCACCGTCCATCAACCCAACCTTGTGCCCTTCCTTATCCTCCGTACCATCTGCACCTTGCCCCAGTGTCCCTGGAATGCCAGCATTTTCCATTTTGCCTCCAGGCAGCTCTGCGTCATTAGCAGAGCGGGCAAGGAGAACAGATATAAACTGAAACGCATCAGCCATGTAGTGAGGCACAGGCCTCAACCTCCAACTAGGCCGCATCCCTACACCTGCATTCCCTCCATGGGCCACAAAGTACATGGGCCTAGGAGATTATGGACGCTGGCCCCTTGGTTTCATGGAGCAGAGCGCCATTGGCCGACGGACAGAGCCTGCAAAACTATCTGGATCTGCCCCTATTTTTGGGGCTGCCAGAGCTGGTGAAGCACCTTCCGCTCCTCCAGCTGCTGCTGCTGGTCGGCAGCAGCTCTTAGTTTGACTGAGCGTCGAACTCGCACATGCTGCTGCAATAGTTGATGTCGCTTGCCTGCCTTTTGGGCAGAATTTGCAATAAGGTATGCGACAAGTCCAGCACGAACTCATAGGGACTGCTGCTTCTCGCCCTCCCTGTCTTACCCTTCTCTGGGCACTAGGAGTGCAGGAAAAGGATGGGATGCAATGGTTTCACTAGTTATTCCTAAAGAAACATCACTAGAAGTGGCTGATGATGCAGGCAATGCAACGAACAACGCTTGGGCACCAGCTGTCAGCGGCAACCCAGCAGGAGCTGCTGTTTGAACTAGAGAAACTTGAAATGAAGAACATGGGTGAGGCCGAATGGCCTCCCGCCCCTCTTTTGTAGGTAAAAGAGGGTGAGTAGCATTTCGACGCTGCCTTTGCTGCGTTGGCCCTCGCTACACTTTAACAATACACTTTTTTGCAAGTGTTATATACTTTCAAAAAAACATATTGTGAAAGCTTGCTTAGGTCCTCTTGTAAAGGCATCGTGCTTCATTTCATCAGGGTAACATACATGGTTCTCGTCCAACAAAGAACTACACACACAAGAGGGTGGGTGGGCGGGGAAATTGAACTAGAGAAACTAGAAATGAAGAACGTGGGTGAGGCCAGATGGCCTCACGTCCCTCTTTTGTAGGTAAAAGAGGGTGAGTAGCGCTTTGACACTGATTTGCTGCGTTGGCCCTCGCAACACTTTCACAATACACATTTTTAGAAAGTGTTACATACTTTCAAAAAATTACATATTGTGAAAGCTTGCTTAGGTCCTCTTGTAAAGGCAGCGTGTTTCATTTCATCTGGGTCTTCTGAGACATGTGCAGAAGGGGTTGGCGGTGGCGTTCAATAGATAGCTGGTGCTGATTGGGCATGGGAGCGGTGGCTGCGTCTTGGAGTTGCGTGGAGGCTTGAAGAATTTGGTCTTGCACGATGGTAACGTAGAGCTCCTTGGCGTTATCGCTGCGCCAATGGCCAAGTCGCTTGAACAGCCAGTCGGATATCCCCACACTGGCTGCCGCTGTAGCAGCGCCCTTGCGGAAGGAGTCGGTGCCGAGGTGGGCGCTATCGAGGCCGGCCCTGGTGAATGCTTCAAGGCACCAGTTCCGGATGGTGGTGTACCAAGGCGCATGGCCTTGTGGAGCTGCCTTGCTGCTGTTCCCGAAGACTCGGATCAATGGCCCGTGTGGGGTGGAGGTGTGACCCGCGAGGAGAAGAAAGTGTCGTGTGCAGTGTACTGGGCAGTATGGGCCGGAAGTGGTGGTGACCGGAATCCACGTGCCCCTGCTTTCCTGGTCAATCTTGGAGTGCAAGATGAGCAGCCACATCGCCTCAGGCTCAAACTGTATGTCATGCCATTGGAGGCTGACAAGGTCAGAGTAGTGTAGGAAGGCAGCGAACATAAGGATGGGGATGAGTCCTTTCTGGTACTCGGCCGGTCAGGTGGACTCCAAGAAGGGGCGGGTCATGGTGTGCACTTGGTGGAGCAACAAGGTTCCTTGTTCCGGATGGGGCGCGGGCCATGTTGTTTGGCGAATTCACATACTTGTAGTGTAAATGGTCTAGTCATGGGAGAGGGCTCGCCTGTCATGCGATGCGCAAAGGTGAC